AAAAACAAAACATAAGTCCTTACACCAATGGGGAAAATATTTCAAGACCTGTATATGTTTCCCATGGCTTATCACATCATATGTTTCTCTAGGCCTTGTCATCTCCTGTGAACAATGCCATAGTTTCACGGTCCATTGTAATTCTTGAAAAATCCCTATGCCTTATTCTTTAAAAAGGTTGGGCACAACCCAGCATGTCTCAGCCAGCCCTTCATTTTTATCGGCCTTGAGAAGCATTGGCAAATTGAGTTTCAAGACTGGATTTTTGTGCTCTTTTGTTACGTTATTTCTGTCATGACAATGAAGGATCCTTTGATGTATCCTTTTAATCTCTTTTCTTGCAGGGGAACAGGAGTCATTATACTTCTTCATTTGTCTATAGTTAATTTTTGGTTTTATAACTTAAAAGGGGGCTTATAGCTACCAGTGATAAAAATGGGCTGACCCCAGGTGATCCCTGTGCCTTATTGTGTGATATAGAATATTTTTCATGGATGAAGCTTCCTGGAGATTCTCTGCATGGTGTGCCGTGGCTGCCTTTGTGCTGCCAATGATGAACTTGGTTTCTCAATGCAGGGGAGCTTGGGAAGGATCAGTGAGCCTCCTCCAGGCTTTGGCAAAGGTTTTCTTCTTTTGTCTAGCAGTTGTTTGCAGAGCTCATGTCTCATGAAGGTTATACCTTCCACTTGGCCAATTCTGATTTTCAAGGAGTTTTTTTTTTTTCCTCAGTAAAGTTTTATGCCTCTTTTAACAAGTTGCTAATTCTATTTTCATAACTTTGTTGCATAGTTCTCATTTCTTTTCCCATGTTTTTCTCTGCTGCTCTTATTTGGTTTTTAAAATCTTTTTTTTTTCTCTTTTTTTAATCTCTTTCTTTATCTCAGGAATTCTGGTGAGTTTTTGTCATATCTGCATTTTTTCTTTGTGGCTTTGCTTGTAGATGTTTTCAGGTCATTGTCTTCTTCTGGGTTTGCGTCTTAGGCATCCTTGTCCCCAGAGTAGCTCTTTGTGGTTGGGTTCTTTTTCTGATTGCTCATTCTTCCAGCCCACTTACTGACTTTGGACTTTGTTAGTGTTGGGCTCTGCCGGCCTCTGAGAGGGCATCCGGCTTGAGCGTCTGCTGTTTTCACAGCTCAGTCGGAGGACCTGCCCGCCTGGTCTGCGTTCTCCAAGTTCCCGGCCTGTTTCGGGTCCTTTGGTACGTGTGCTGCCGAGACTGCTGCTGGACTCAGTCACTCTCGGCCTGCTGGAAGGTTTTGTAGAGTCAGAGTGACTGAACTGCCGGCAGGAGCTGCCCTGTTATTCCTCTGTAGACGTGAGCAGGATTAAAGGCTGGGACTGAGTCTCTGCTCTGCTCTTGGGCCCTGAGCCTCACAGCTGGGGTTCTGGGACTTGTTCCTTGCTCCATGCATAGCTGGGGCTTCTCACTGGTGACTGTGACCTCTCTGTCCCACCCTGGAACTGTGACCTGGGCCTGGGTAATGGGAGATGGAAAGTCCCCTGGAGATCCAGAGCACTTGTCTCTGGCCTGGGTCTGTGACTGGGAACTGGGTAAAATGCCAGATGACACCCGTTCTCACTCCCAGGTCTGGCTCAGGGGTCCCCTGGGATCTCCTCCTGCCCTGGTGGTCGGTCTCAGGCCCTTGACTGTCCCTGGGAACTAGACTGCTCCTCACCCTTCCCCAGTGTCCACAGGCCTGGCTTGTCTTCTGGGCTGGAAAAATGACTCCCTGTCTTCTTTCTGAGCTTTCTCTATCAGAGTTTGTTCTGGTGCATTGTCTGAGTTGTTGAGGACAGGGTACGTTTGGGAGAGCTGGGCAGAAATGCTGCCTCTGCCGTCTTGACTGCCTCAGAACAGGGGTTCTTCATTTTGGTCTGTGTCCTGCCTTCCTTTGCCAGTCTGGTGAAGCCTGTGGTCTGTTCTCAGAATCATGTTTTCAGTCCATTGCAGAGGACATGTTGGAGAAGGATTCCTTGTGGAGAGTGAGGCCCTCCAGATATTCTTGTAGATAGATAGTAATGTGCAAGTTGAACTTCGCCCCAGAGCTTTGCATGGCCTCTTGGAAGAGGTGTAGAATTGGAAGAGTTCGGGCGGCCACACCAGGAAGGCCAAGTGCAGGAGGAATGTCTGTGGCCTGCATTTGGCTGGATGAGCTAGGGACTGTTATTGTATATATCTGGGAGAGTGTGAACCACCACCAAGGTGGGCCCAGGGTTAAACTGGGAGAGGGGTGATCATGTTGTATGGACCTTCCTCTTCCCCCAAGGTCAGCATTGGGGAGGGCATGGGGATGAGTGACACAGAGGCAGAGTGCTGGGCCTGGAGTCAGGAAGATCTGAGTTCAAATCCAACCTCAGACACTTGTTAGCTATCCTGGGAAAGTCACCAAACCACTGGTTGCCTCAGTTTTCTTATCTATAAAATAGAGATAGTAGCAGCACCTATTAAAGGAGTGAAGTGCTTAGCAGAGTGCCAGGGCACGTAATTTCTGTAAGAATTTTAGCTACTGTTGTTACCATAATCAATATCAATATCATTATCATTATTTAGTGAGCATGGATGGGTTGTGATGGGCATGGTTAGAAGGAACATCTAAATCAATTCTATCTAATCATCTGGATCATTTAATCAAAGCATATCTATTCTGGGGTATTAGAGACTCTGTATATGAAAAACTGGAACCCAGACCCCATAACTACCCTGTGACTTTTAGAGGTAGCATACTGAAATTGGAGCCTTTAAAAATTATTATTATTACTGTGATTAATATCTCTGTCCTGAAAGAAAGAGAAGATGCCAGAGGTGGCTGGGGCTTCAACATAGTCTTGGAAAGATCGCACACAGGTCAGAACATCACAATGAAGGGTAGAAAATAATATTGCAAGGCAAAAATAACAGGAAAAGTGAGATTGAAGCAATTTCAAGTCTATAAAGCCTTAGAAACAGAGACTAATAAGAAATAAAAAACGTCCGTTCCTGTGTCTAGATAAAAGTATCAGGTCAGATATGAGTTTAAAAGAAGCATTTTGAGGACCTCCCTTTTTTCCTCAAATTTCTGACGTGTCTCTAATGAACCAAACCACACTGGAGGAACCTAAAGTCTTTCCTGGGGAAAATGTGTTTCCTTGGGTAATGAAGATAAATCTGGTATTTGACAGTGATTACAAATCATTTCTCTGTTCACAAAAGCCTTCGTTCTACTTCTTCCTCGTCCTTTCAGTCAGTTATTCGGTTTAGAAGGCGCCTGGCTTCCTGGTAACGCATTTTGTGAGATGAGCCTGGAAGACGCCTTCTAGGACATGAGGCCTGTTGACCTTTTCTCCTCGTCTCCTTCCTTGCTTCGTGTCTTCTTGATGTTTCCAGCCTGGACAGTTGTTGTTGATGTCATATAATCGAGTTTTTTTAGAGATGTCTTGATTTGAGGTGGCCTCTGTGGCATCAGGCTCCATGAAGCCTTCTCTGGCAGACTCTGAAGACCCTGTCGTGCAAGGAGAGCAGAAGGCGGGCACACTGGGGATTCCTTAGAGCTGGGGTCGTTCTCCTCGGCCAACTCTGTTTATTGAGCTTGTCACTAAGATTGTAGACATTGCATTCTTTTGGCTTCAGTGAAACTGCTCTGTTCCCTACCTTTGGCACATAACTTTCCATCTCCTGCCTTTTTTCCATGTGCTCTCCTAGTTCCTTTCTGCCTAGGCCACCCCCACCCCCTCCTTCAGCGTCCAGATCTCCTTGGAGCACACCTGGCCGTTAGTGTCTTTCCTTCCTTCGCCTTCCGAGCTGTTGCCCCTTAGCCAGGCATTGCCTTGCAGCCTCTCCGGGGGCTTTTGCCCATTTTTCCTCCTCGGTCTCAGACAAAGGATTTGCCATGGAGACGCACCTCTTGTTCTTTAAGGATCAGGCCTGTCCCTCAGTTGCTTTTCTGCGCATGTAGCTGGCTTGCCCCCTTTTCCGCTCATACCTGCCCTCCATGATGGATCTCAGACCATCCTTTGTGAGGATGTCGGAGTTGGCGTCATGCTGAGGATGCTCAGGGCCACTGTGCACCTTCCCATTGCTTTGGAGTCAGTTATCCTTTTAATTATAGCGAGATCATGGGGTGCCTTGAAGGGAAGCCTTGCAGCCTTACTGGGGGAATACTCTTATCCCAGTAATAGGTTTTCATGGCAGTGAGCAGATGGCGATCATGAGCAACCCTGGATGGTCCCCAGTGTGGTCTGGCACAGTCAGCCCAGCCACGTGTGCAGAAAGTTGGCCACCACCATAATTATTCTGGTCATAGCATCCCATGAAACAGATGGGTGGCCGGCCATCCTCTGTGCTCCTCCCTGGTTTGGGCAGTGACAGTGACGATGCTTCCAGAGATGTGGCCGCACGTGTGGTCCCAATACTCAGTGTCTGTGCTTTTACTATTAAAGGGTGTCTTCTCCAAGGGTGTGTCCCTTCTAATCTGTATTTTATCTACTGCAAGTCAAGGAGGGTCTATGTGGGCACTCAGTTAATGTTATTTACTTGGTTAGCTGGACCAAACTTTGACAGAGAATTCAGGAATAGAAAACCTGTCCTAAGTCTGTCAGTTCCTACTCTGACAGATTCTTTTAGGTCTAAAATGCAATTCTTTTTTTTTTTTTAATAAAAAAACCGCACTTACTATGAGGCTCTTACATACCTGAGAAGATGCTGTTCCAGACCCTAGGATCACAACGACATCAATGAAATAATGAAATAATGCCTGCCCTGTCATGTTACTGGCACCCTCCCAGGGACGGGAGGGCTCTGTCACGTGGCCCAGCTGCCACGTTCAAGCGGGTTCAGTCCACGTGATCTCAGAGCTGTTGGGAAGGTGAAGCGTGTAAGCTGTGGTTGGCTCTCGTAGGCAGTATCTTAAATCTTTTACAGATTTTTAAATAACTGAATTTGCTGAATAAACTGGTTGTATTCATGTAGCATTTTGTATTTTATCTTCTCTGAGTTTGTCATTTGCATTTGCCCTCTTTTTCAGTGTGTGGTCTTTGCTATGACATCAGGACAAATGTGGAATCATATCCGGGGACCTCCGTACGCCCATAAGAACCCTCAGAATGGACAAGTGGTAAGTTTCCGTACGAAGATTGACAAATCTGATTGTGTTTAGCCTATGGAAACAAGAGTTCTCCCTGTGTTAGTTACACAATGGTCGTCTGTGCCTTCTCCTCCCTCCCCCCAACATCCTGATTGCACTGGGGGCTCTCTAATGTTAGAGCGGTGGGGGACTTGGAGATGCTCTCTGCCACTCATCTTCTGCCAAGGTCATGAGCGCTTGACCCCAGCGTGGAACGTGGCTTCCAGAGATCTCTCCAGAACAGACCCGCTCCCAAGCCGATCACGTAACGTGGTGGGAGTGGCGCCTGATTTGTGTAGGCCATTCTCAGTGCTGTAATGGGGTGGCTTCTTTGCCATTCTGAGCCTCGAAGGCTCAGGCTTGAAGGAGTTTGTGCTGCCAGTGTGAGGGAAACGCCTCCTCTGCAGGGCTGGTTTTCTGACCTGCTGTGACTCGTGAGCTAGCATTCGCAAAGCGCCTACTGTGTGCCGGCTCTGTGCTGAGCCCTTTACAAAGAGGGTCTCATTTGATCCTCACAAAATCCGGGGAGGGAGGGCTCTTCCGAACCCCATTTGAGGAATGTGAGGCAAACAGGGAAGTGACTTGCCCAAGGTCACACAGCTAGTAAGTGTCTGAGGCCCAATTGGAACTCAGGTCTTGCTGCCTCCAGGCTCGGTCCTCTGTGCACTCTGGGATCCCCTCGCAGTCCAGTCTACACTGTCATCTCTTCTGAGCTGAGTCTCTTACTCCTTATCCTGTTGAAGCCCCAGGCCACTGTCCCATGTCCCTATATAGAGGCTGCTGAGCGAGGGGGGGAGGTTTCCAGGCCCTCGTGCTGACTGGCTCCTCCCCAGATTGATGTCACTCTGCTTAGACACCTGCCACGCTGCCTCCTCCTGCATAGGCGGGTGGCCCTTCCCCTCGCCAGAGCCAGCTCCTCTCTGTGCATCCCTGCTCCTGCAGCAGATTTCTCTCTGATTTCGCCTCTCTCTCTGTGTCTGTCTCTGCTGTGACCTGCAGACATGCACCCATGTCTCCCACATCCTCCACCTGTGTGCATTCTCAGCAGCTGTCATTCTTAGCTACTCTGGAGATATCTGCCTCCACTTCGTCTCCTCCAGTCCCTGCAGCCTGCCCTGGCTTCTGACCTCATCAACCGACAGATCTGCTCCCTCCAGATTTATCAGTGGTCTTTTAATTCCCCAGTCCAGTGGCCTCTTCTCTGCCCTCCTCTTTGACCTCTGCAGCCTGTGACACTGTTGATCCCTCTCTCCTCCTTGATCCTCTCTTCTCGAGGTTTCAGGACATCCCTCCCTCCTGATTCTCCTCCTCCCTCTCTGGCCACTCTTCCTCAGTCTCTTTTGCTGGGCCCTCTTCCCAACCGAGCCCTCTGACCGTGGATGCCCCACGGGGCTCTGTCCTGGGCCTTCTTCTCAGGTCTGTCTTTGCTCCTTCACTTAGTGGTGAGCTCATCAGCTCCCATGATTGGATGACCCATCAGTTAACCTGTAGAAAGGCATGGCAGTGACCTGAGCCCAGAGACAGTTGACCTTGCCTCAGATTGCCTGCGCCCTCTCTTTCCTGGCCTCCCCTCCTGTGTGTGGATTGGCTTCCCCTCTTACGTGGCTCCTTGGGGGAAGGGACTGTCTCATGCGGGAGTGTGTCTTCCTAGGGCTTACTGCAGTTCCTGGCATGCGTTTTGTTCAGAATTGGTTAGCTAGACCGAACTTGGACAGAGAATTCAGGAAGAGAAAACCTGTCCTAAGTCTGTCAGTTCCTACGCTGACAGATTCTTTTAGGTCTTTTGGTTAGTTTTTCAAGACATCTGCCAAATCCTTCCTTGTCCACCCCTGTTGGGTGGGCTTCTTCTCAAGCCACACATTTGGCAGGCCTGGATTTAAGCACGGTCAGCGAGTCCAGATGCTCTTCTCAGATGCCATTTCCTTAGCCGGGCGTTCACTTCCCAAAGCAGGTTTTGTCTTCCACATTCCTTACCTTCAAGGAGCTGACGTGTGGCAAACTCAACCCTCGTCCCTGTGGACTTCAATTTCTCTCCCAGGACTTCATTACTAATACCTTGGAGACATTTGTGCCTGGGGGGATCTGAGGGAAGGGGCATTTCTCCTGGTGCATTCTGCCACTGGAGCTCCTCCTGGCCCATGGTGGGCTTCCTGCCTTTCCTGCCTTGCTAGGCTTTCAGTTGGCCAGAGCGTAGAGGCTAGCACTGGCCCAGACATGCTGTGGACTGTTCTTTTGGTAACAGCTGCCACACCAGGCTATCAAAAGCCAGGCAGTATATCAGATTGCGCATCATCTAGGGGAGGGTGATGGGGAGGGAGGGGGAGAAAAATTTTAAACTCAAAAGCATATGGAAGTGATCGTTGATAAATCAAAATAAATTAATTTTTAAAAAAAAGCCAGGCAGAGTGGCCCCAGATTAATTCTGTTCCCATGAGGCCTCGTGTCATCAGGAGATCCTTACCTAAAGTCTGCATCTCTTCTCTACCACAACTCTAAATGATTTGGAGCCTCGGCAAGGAAGGTCCTTGGCCTCCCCTCACCTGTCCACATGCCTTTCTTTATTGTGTTTACTGGTCACCAGCCCATGGTCTGGGAAGAGTCTCAGTCTCCCTACGTTTATAAGTAATATTATGTCACTCTAGCTGTGGTCAGGGCTTCAATAAGTACCTGGATTAGCTCTGATGAGGCTCAGGTTCAATCCCTTTGGGTGCTTCATCCTGATTTTAGGAAGCAGGGACTTTGTGGGGATCTCTGCATGCCCTGACCCAAGCCCTGTCTTTTAACTAAACTATGTATTGTTCTTCAGTAGTCTCACTCCTTGAAATGCCTAATGCCTTTGAATGAGCTGCCGTGGTTCTGTTACAACTAAGATTATTCTTGAACTTTGGTGCAAATAAAATGAGGGAGTCAGCGATGGGGTGCGCCTGAGAGGGGGGCCACCTCATTTTGGAGCAGAGCTTTTCATTCTCTGAAGTCACGGGAAAGAGAAGTGGTGGTTTTTGACATGAGCTTTGCCCGTCTGGCAGGTGTGTTCTTGTGCTGGGGAGGTTCAGACAGGGAAGGAAGACTTCCTGAACGTCTTCACCCCTTTCTCATGCTCTTTTGGTGTGCTCCTCGTTTGCTCCTGGGCAAAGGAGTGTGGATGGAACTGGTTGGGGAGAACCAGCTTGCTCCAGCTGTCTGAAAAGGAGGAGACTTCTGCTCAGGAATACCCATAGGCCTTTGTGAGTCTGACTGCAGTGACGGGCACATGGTGCAGTCCCAGGGGGCTCCCAGGCAGAAAAGCTGACTGGGTCCTTTGGGGCCGTTGGGATGGAATGGAAGGGATCGGAAATATGTACAAATTAAATGAAGGAAAGCATTTTGGTAGTTCAGGAGGCAGTGAGGATTTGGTACAGAGAACCACTTTAATATTTCAGCAGAGAGCAAAAGTGTCTGTCTCCACTGTTTGTTTTTTACCAAGTAGATGTGGCTGAAGTATGTGTGGGATGTGTGTGTGCGCCTCTGCAGACGTACTGCAAAGGGTCAGCCTACCGCTGCTGAGCATGAGCTCCAGGATTTATCCCAGTCATGTAAGATACTGCGGGCTCATTCTCTTGGCTCTGGCACCCAGTTTCCTATGGTGCCTTGGCAGGGCTAGCTTTCTTGGCTTAATTGATACTTCTTGTATACTCTGACTCCTTAAATGTCAAAAACCAGAGGCTATTTGCCTTATTGACCTAATTTGAATAAACAAATACTTTTTTTTTCCCAAAATATATAAGCAATAGAATATAGGATTGGTGTTATTTTATGTTTTGTACGTGTGGATGCCCTTGCAGAATTCCCTTTAGTGCTTCAAAATAGCGATTACTTTTGGAAAGGCTAATAAAGGTTGTTTTCTTCGTCAAATCAGTGTTGAAATTTAGAGGGGTAACTTAGAAGTAGATAATTTTTTTTTCAATTCTCCATATTGTAACTACCTTTTTAAAGGCAAATCACTGCAGAATTTGCATTTTAGATGTTGACAGTAATGAGGATGCTTAGCCCTTTCCAGTGTGCTGAACACAGTGACAGAAGAAATGGTTTGTGAATAGAAGTAAAGGCTTTTGCAGCTTTCTGTGCAGCCGCACTACGGTACCTGGGGCTGAGAGAAGTTTTGGTACGCGGCGGCAGCAGCAGGATCACCATCATCAGCCGCTATATAGATTCCCAAGAGACTTTGGAATTTGCATCGTCCCTCTCCCTTCAGCCCCACAGCCAAGGCCCGGGGAGATTCCCCCTTGGGGGAAGCTCCTCCAGCTTGGGCACCCACTCAGGAAGCTTCCCCTTGGTGTGGGCAGCCCCGCCCAGTTGGGCTCTGCTCTGGCTCTCCGACCTGCCTGGTGTTTCTCTGCTTCAGGCACTCTGTGTTGCACCCAAATGGGCCTGCCCATCATTTCTCATGGTGACCTTCTCTCTTCCATCGCTGTGCCTTTGCAGAGACTGCCCCTCGCCTCCAGTGGGCTCCCCCTGTAGCTCCTTCCCCCAGCCCCCCTGCACATTCCCTGCCATTCTCTGTCTTCACTCACCTGTCCTGCTCTCCTCCTCCCTATTACAGCAGAAGTTCTTGGGAGGAACCACTTGTTTATTTTTACCTCCTAGCACAATGCCCCACCCACAGGTGGTGCCTAGTATGTGTTTGTTGGGTGAATGAATGGAAAAGATATGTCCTTGCCCTCATGGAGGTCGGAGGTCAGTACCCACACACACAGACTGTCCCGGTGTGTGTGTGGTGTGTGTGTGTGTGTGTGTGTTGGGCTGTGTGTGTGTATGTGTGTGTGAAAGTTACGTGGTCTCTGAGAGCCCTTCTAGTTCTAATGGGCTCTTAGGGTTTGAGTCCTTAAACGAGGATGTGGTAAGTCCATGTGAGGCATCCTCTTGAGCCCCTGGGATGTACTGGAAGGAGCACAGCTTCATCCTCTCTGAACTGCTTTCTGCCGGCACTTGACATGTTCTTAGGTAAGAGTAGG